GCCCCTCCCACCTTTGACAGCTGGGGGGCGGGACTCTCGCGTGTATCCTGCGCGCGCGGGACGCGGCGGAGGGAGGGGGCGGCCGGCTCGCGAGGCTGGGGGGGTGTTGCGTCCGTCCGTCCGTTCGCCGGGCCTCCAGTGCCAAGTGGCCAGTTAGGCTGCCCATAGGGCGGAAGACGCTTTTTCAGACAGTGGGGTAAACTGAGGCACACGAGGGCGCCGGGGACCGCCCAAGCCCAGCGCGCTCGGATGGAAGCCACCGGCCCTGAGAAGGTGCGGCCGCCGGGTCCTGGGAGCTGAGCTGGCCGTGGCGGCCGTGGCCTGCAGAGCAGAGTCCGGCCTCTTCCATCCAGCCTGGGCACCTCTGCCTGTGGCCACCCTCGGGTTGCTGACCACGGACTAGACGAGCCTGTCTGCTTTGGGACCGGGTGTGCCTGGACAGTGGCCACTGCCCCGCTCCTCTGTGCCCCAGAACTTGGCCCCCTGCAGGGAAGCTGGTATCAGGTGTGGGGGTGATGGACAGCAACCCCACCAGGACGCGGGAATGAATGAAAGAGGGGAAGGAGTGCTAGTGAAAAGAAGTTACAAGGTGCACCTCCTTCCCTGAGGCCCTTCCCACCCCACCCTCACACTGCATCCCACACACACACTGAACCCCACCCCTGTCCACCCTGGAGCAGGCTCGGCTGGCACTGCTGGGGGGCATGGCACAAAAGATGGCACATTTGAGGTCCACTTCTCACAGGGACCCTGGGGATCTGCTTCCTCAAGGCCAAGGCCTCACCATGAGGCCGAGGCCAGGTGGGGGCACTCTGTGGAGGGGTCAGTCCGTCAGTCCTTCCCTTGGAAATCAGAGCGAGGCCTGTGTGACCACAGGAAGAGAGAATGTCCTTCCCTCATTGACCTTGCCCACCCTGGGGACGGGACACACAAGATTTTGGGAGAGGTCAGCGTGTGTGCCTTGAGGTACATCCAAGGCTGTCAGCTTTCCCTGTGTAAGTCTGCATGTCCTTGTATGTGATGTGTCAGTGTCGCTCGGTGTGTGTCTGAGTGACCATGTATGTTGGGCAGCATCCTCTTTGGACATCAGTGTCAGGGTGTATCTGTGTCTTGTACTAGGTGAGAAGATACCTGTCTGTTAGTTTCCAGGTGGCTGGACACGGGGGGTGGAGTATGTCTGGACCTGGCAGATGTATGCTCAGGCTGCAGCATGTTTGGTTCTGTAGGTTGGGGTCATTGTGTGTCTGAGATGCTGTGTTGGAGTGTGTTGCTATGGGTCTGGATGTTGGTGTCATTGTGTCTCTGTGTTTGTGTCTGTGTGTTCGGACTGCAGGGTTTGGTTTATGCCTCTGAGTTACTATTGATATCTGGCTGCTGCCTGCATACATGTGTCAGGGCATGTGCTATGACCCGTGTTTCTTATGTCAGGGCACTGCCCTGTGGCAAACTATATGGGAGTCCCCAAAAGATAGCCACATCAAATCCCTGGAACCACCCAGCTGGTGTGGCTCAGAGGTTGTGTCAACCTATGAACCAGGAGGTCATGGTTCAGTTCCCAGTCAGGGCACATGCCTGGTAGCGGCTCAATCCCCAGTGTGGGGCGTGCAGGAGGCAGCTGATCGATGTCTCTCATCGATATTTCTATCCCTCTCCTTTTCTCTAAAATCAATAAAAACATCTTTTTTAAAAAAAAATCTCTGGAGCCCTAACTGGTTTGGCCCAGTGGATAGAGCGTCGGCCTGCGGACTGAAAGGTCCCAGGTTCAATTCCAGTCAAGGGCATGTACCTTGGTTGCGGGCACATCTCCAGTAGGGGGTGTGCAGGAGGCAGCTGATCAATGTTTCTCTTTCATCGATGTTTCTAACTCTCTATCCCTCTCCCTTCCTCTCTGTAAAAAATCAATAAAATATTTTTAAAAAATCTCTGGAACCTATGAATGGGACCTTATTTGGAAAAAGGGTCTTTGTAGATGTGATTAAGTTAAGGGTCTTGAGATGAGGTCATCTGGGTTATCCAGGTGGGCCCTAAATTCAGTGACACGTGTCCTTGTCAGAGGGAGACGTGAGACCAACAGAACGCGAAGTGACCGTGTAGTCCTGGACACAGTGGCGTGTCTCTGAGCCCAGCAATCCTCAGCAGCCACCAGAGCTGGGAAGGGTCCCCCCAGCCCTGCGGGTCTCAGACCATGGCCTGCAGAACTGGGAGGGAATCGGTTTCTGTGGCGGGAAGCCTCCCAGCTGCCATTTGTACAGCAGCCCCAGGAGCCTAGCTCGCCTGTGCTGGTGTGTCCAGGTGCAGTACCGGGTGGGAGCCCAGCCTCTGCTCTTGCTCCTCCCGCTCGTTCCTGGGATGAACAGGTGCCTGCCAGGATGCCGCACCACTGCCACCTGGTGGCCATGGCAGGAGGCAGCTGGGCCGGGAAACCCCCGCTCTGGCTCAGGGCTGCCCCACCCCACAAGGCAGCTGACTGGACACCACACTGGGGCACTTGAGAACCAGGTTTATTTCTGGTCTTTTTATCAGAATATAAAAAAGTGAACGCAAAACAAGAAAGACAAGACGAGCTTGGGGGGCAAGACAAAGGAGGGAGAAGGGGGCAGAGATGGGAGGGCCCTCTGGAAAGGGTGACATTGCAATGACACAAAGTGGGGGACACTCAGGGCAGCCAGACAGGACAGGGGACTTTCCATGGGGGGCTGGGCACCAGGCCAGTTATCCAAATTCCACGTGGGACCCGAAACCAGCCTCCTCCTGAAGCCAGCTCAGGGCACAGAGCAGGCTGGGGGCTCAGCCTCGTCTGCCGGAGGGTCTGAGTCCCCCAGAGGAGCGGCAAGCAGGGAGCAGGAGGCAGGAGGCTCAGGACTGCCTGGCTGACCCTCTGCCGGCAGCCCCGCCCCACCGCAGGCCCTCTGGGAATGCTTGTCACCACTGGCTGGGTCTCCAGTGGGCAGCACGGGACGTCTCTTATGAGAATCCAGGTTTTCCCTGGAAAGGGACAGTGGGAATGCCCGCCCATCACTGTGCCTTCAGGGTGGCTCCATGAGCCTGAGAGGAGGGAAGCTTTCCCAAATCTAAGGCCCGTGCTGGTGTGGGTCCCTCCCTCTCATGCCACCTGCCCGTTCTGGTGTGGGTCCCTATCGTGCCCTGTTAGGTCCTAGGCTCTTGGGCAATCCTGGACCTCCCTCTCCTCAGTTCCCATGAGTAGATGCAGGCATGTGAGGGACTCATAAATAATGAGTGAAGGTGCTGGGCAGGGTGCCTGGCCGGTGGACACTGATGACCATAACCTGGACAGCAGGGTGGGCCTGCTGGGCCTGAGCAAGGGCAGGGAGGGGGCACATAGTACACAGAGCCTGGCAGTGTATCCCACCTCTGTGGGTAGTCCTCCAGGTGCTGGGAGGGTGTGGAACTGGACGAGTGGCAGACAGCTCTCTCGTCCTGGGAGAGGACAGGATGCCCAGAGGATGTGAGTGAAGGAATATAAATAAACACTCCCTGGGAGTCTGGGGGAACATCCAAACCCCGCTCTGGCTCCAGGTGGTTGCCCCAAATGCTGCCAGCAGCACCAGGGGTTGGGCTTGGGTCCAGGTCCTGGGAGGTGAGCATACACTCAGGAAGCCCCCACCCGCCCAATCCCAGGCATAGCCCACAGTGCACAACCAGAGGTGGCTGAGGTGACAATCCTGGTCCCACCTTCCATTGGGCCAGGCTTGGCCCTTGGGGACTCCTGGAGGTCCGAGAAGGGCTGTGCCTCATCTTTGCCATGGGCTCTGGTCACAGTGCTGGGGTCTGGGGTTCAAGCCTCGGGCAGCAACTAGGACATGTGTCCGAAGGAAGCTATGGGTGGATGGGTAAGGAGGAATGGGGGCCGCTGGTGTTGTCCACACCACCGTGGGTGTAGGAGAGCCCTTATTGGGCTCCCATGGCCACGCTCCTGAGGTCCACCCACCCTCCCTGCACGCAAGAGTGGGGGACTTGCAACCCAATCCCACAGACCTCTCTAAGCCTCCCAGGCATTCTCGGCTCCTCCCACTGACCTTGGCTGAGCAGCTGCAGGCTCCGCCCCTCCTCGCGCACCTGTAGGCGCAGCACCTGCTGCAGCACCTCCTGCCTTTGGGCCTCCTGTGCCAGTCCCATCCGCTGCAGCTTCTCTGCATTCAACCGAAGCAGTGCCCGGCCTGGAGGGATGGGGAAAGGGATCGAGCCCAGGTCAATGTCCGGTGGAGATCAGGAGCGAAGGCAGAGAAAGAGAAGTGGGGAGGGGAGGCACAGACTCAAAGACAGGGAGAAGGAGAAACAGAGAAAGAGAAGGGGGTTAGAGAGAGAGAGATGGCGGGGGACAGAGACAGGTCAATTCAGAGAGACAGGGAAAGAGAGGGAGAGACAAGGATGGATAGAGACTTTGCAGAGAAAAGCCAGATGAAGAGACTGGGAGAGACAATGAGAGATTCTGCAGACACACAGGCCTGAAGGAGAGGCTGAGTCAGGAGAAGACAGAAAGGAAAGGGTAGCAAGAGAAAACAGGCTCTCTTGGGATACGGTCCCTCACCGGTGATGGCGTGCTGGGAGAAGGCCTCCACGTAGACGAGGTAGTTGTGGGGACAGTGCTTCTTGAGCCACTTGCAGACGTCCTGCTGACTCCACAGGACCACAGGTCTCGTCAGGCCACCCAGTGAGGGGCTCGTGTGGTACAGGCCACAGTGGTCAGAGTACAGCCGGCCCTGTGGGGGAGAGGGCAGCAGATGCAGTGCGCTGGTGGGGAGGGCAGGGGCTGAATGGGGATGATAGCTGGGTACCTGGGGGGCCTCTGTGCCAGGCTGCTGCAGGAGCTTGACTGGCCGGCCACCAGCTGCCCTCTGGCTTCGTGAGTCATGCCAGGTGAGGCTGGAGCCTGGAGTCCTAGGCAAGTGGCAGGGGATGCTCTCAGCTGACATTGTGTGCTCCAGGAGGGTCCGGCAGAAGCTGAAGTGGGCAGTGGCTGTGGAGCAGGGCACTGGTCAGAGTGGTCAGGGGCAAAGCCAGAGGCTCCTCTTCTTGCTCAGCCCAACTCCCCTCCACTGAGGAAGGAGCCCCTTTCCCAACTAGGGTTCCCAAGCCCCTGAAGGCAGGAGGAAGCACCGTGAGCTGTCTTGAGAACCCCACCTAGCTCAGAGATGGAGAACAAACAAGCCCAACCCCCTTGCTCTGGGGAGCAGGACCAATTCTGCTGAGATTAGAGAGAAGATATGCCCACCAAGGAGCCCAAGACTGACAGCCAGTAGGGCTGCCCTGGGACAGCCTGACCTCACCCTTGCCTCGGCACAAGCCACACCAAGCCAGGGCACACACATAGGACCTGCCTGCGACACGCTGTGTGGTGGGAGGCCCTCGGGTGGCCTGCCTGCCCATCCTCATGGGCTGAACCCCGGCTCTGCACCTGGAGTTGAAGCTTTGCCCTGCCCAGCGGTGCTCACTAGGAGTGGCTCATTGACAAGAAGCCTGAACTCGAGCAGCCAACACCCAGGATTCCTGCTCCCACCTCCCACAGGGCCCTGGCCCAGGATGGTTTCTGTGCATGGCGGCTGCCTAGCTGGCATGGGCTGCTCAGTACAGGGTGCAGGTGCAACTCTGTGCTCAGGACCCTTGGAGATGTCTTTCCCACAATAAATTTATTACACCTGTCAACTCTCAGTTTTACCATAATTTCTGGGCTTGCTGCTGACATGAGTTGGGGGAGGGCAGACACCTGGACAGGCCCCTCCCAAGGACTTGCACAGGCCCTGGCACACAGGAGGTGTCCAGAAACATTGTGAATGAATGAATGAATGAATGAAGGGAGGGAGGGAGGAAGGAAGGCTCTGGGTAATGTCCACAAGTCAACAGGCCCTGGGGCGCGGCAGAAAGCTGGGCCCAGGCTTGCCCTTCTTTACAGCATCCCGACTCTGACTCAGCAGGCAGGAGCAGGTTCCGAGACCTCCCCGCCACAGAGTGAGAGACCTGCCCTCCACCCCATGGAGGGGAGGGTTTGGCCGCGTGCCCAGGTCTCAGTAAGGGGGGGGGGGGCGCGGGGAGACCGCATCTTTTTCCTCCTCCTTCCACCCCATTCCATTCACCGGCCTTAGCCCCTCCTCCTCCTCGCCCCCCCTGTTCTCAGATGGCCCTGGGGGACTCTAAACTTGAGGTCTAGGGTCAGCCGGTGTGGCCAGTGTGGCCGCCGCCTCGAGGAGCGCCGTGGGAAAGGACTTATTCTAAGCCGGCACCTTCTGGGGACCAGGCGCCAGGGCAGCCGGCCTGGGCGAGAGCGAGCGGCCAGGGGCAAACCAGTCGGACGCGTCCGCCGGCGCCGCACCTGTCCGCGGCCAGCCGGGTCCCACCCATTTCCGGACCGCGCTCCAGGTGGGATCTCTGTCCACACGTCTGTCCTTCTCTCCTTCCAGCCCAACCTCTTAATTCCACAGAAGATGGGGCGGGGAGGGAGCGCCCGAGCCGGGCTGTGGCCTTGGCCCCAATGCAAAGGGCTGGGGAGGGGTGTGTGTGTGTGTGTGTGTGTGTGTGTTTTACCCGCCCCCCGGGAGAAGAAAAAGGGGACCTCACGGTGATGCCAGCCTAGGGACAGGAACCGAGAGCGGTCACCTCCCCCAAAGGCCTGAGGCCGCGGCACCCCCATCCCCAGCGCAGGACAAAGACACTAGGAACCCCGTTCAGCAAGGACGAGCCCCCGCCCCGCCCCCCACTCCGCCTGCCGCCGCCGCCGCCCCCTCGGTCCCCAAGCCCCCAGCCCGCGAGGTCCCGGGTCCAGCCGCGCTCACCGTCC